AAAAAAAAAAAAAAAAAAAGCTTCACCAGGTCCGCTAAGCAGACACGCTCCGTCTCCGCACTGATTCTAGGTGCTGGGCTGTGCACCTAAGGCTCTCTCATCCCCCAACCTCGGAGGGCTTTAGAGCCACACTGGGGAGAAAGACAGGTGGGGAGACTTCCACAGAGCAGATGCTGACACCAAGTGTCCCAGGGGACCCGGGAAAAGAGGCCCCAGCACAGTCTTGAGGAACAAAGAGCAGATGCTGACAGGGAGGGGGATGGGGGGCAGAGGAATGGGCTGCGGTGGGTTAGTGGGGGCAGGGCCACAGCTCACAAGGAGGCTGCTCTGACCTGGATAGGGCCTCCTGGACCAGGCCAAGAAGCTGGAAGTGCACCCAGTGTCCAGGATGGGGGAGAGGAGGGACACAGCTACTTTAAAGGTCATAGGGGGCTGGGGTAAGTGGGGAGGCCCGCGTGACGATCCTGGTTGGAGGAAACGGTCAGGGAACAGAGAAGAGGACCGATAAGAGGGAAACTGGAAAGATGCTGCATGAGAATGGTCAGAGGTCAACAGCAACACCCCAAGCGAGGAAGGGGAGGGGAGCCTTCCTCCCAGACTGGGCAGAGGGACAGGAGCTGGGCAGGAGGTGGGTGCTGGCGGCTGGCTCCTCAGCCGGCGCTGCTCACCTGGAAAGAACACAAACATCTGGTCGGTGGGGTCATCGTTGTGTGCCACCAGCACGGTGAGGTCTGTGCGGCGCGGTCGCCCCTCGCTCGGCTTGTCCCCAAACTGGGCTTTGAACTCCTCCAGTGTCTGGTCAAGCTCGTCCTGAGTCACTAAGTAGCCACGGTCATGGCATAGCTGCAGAAAGAAAGAGCCAGCTGGCTGGGCGTGGTGGCTCACGCCTGTAATCCAAGCACTTTGGAGGCCAAGGCGGGTGGATCACCTGAGGTCGGGAGTTCAAGACCAGCCTGACCAACACCGTGAAACCCCGCCATTATTTTAAAAAAAAAAAAAAGAGCCAGCTGACCGCAGGGCAGACAGAGGAAGGGGGCTAGATCTCATGACCCAGAAGTCAGACCTGCAGTTGCTGCAGAGGACAGAACGCTGAACCCTCATGTGTGCCCGGTGACAGCCACCCTGCCCCCAGAGCCACACCACAGGATGGGGCCAGTGTGATCCTGAGAGGCCTGCAGAGGTGTCCAGTCCAGCCTCACAGGAACCTGGCAGGGAACAAACCTGGCAACCACAGCCCTCCAGACCACTTTTCAGAGCTACCCTAAAGGCGGGGAAGGGGGGAAGGGGCGGAGGCCGGGTTCGGGGGCTCAGAACTGTGATCTCAGTGCTGAGGGAGGCTGAGGCAGGAGGACCGCTTAAGGCCAGGAATTCGAGGATGCAGCGAGCTATGACTGCAGCACTGCACTGCAGCCTGGAGGACAGAGGAAGACCCTGTCTCTTTTGGGGGGGTGGGAAAGGGGGCCGGGTGCTGTGGCTCACGCCTGTAATCCCAGCACTTTGGGAGGCCAGGCGGTCAGATCACCTGAAGTCGGGAGTTGCAGGCCAGCCTGGCCAACACGCTGAAACCCCACCTCTACTAAAAATACAAAAACAATTCGCCGGGGGTGGTGACAGGTGCCTGTAATCTCGGTACTCGGGACGCTGAGGCAGGAGAATCGCTTGAACCCGGGACGTGGAGGCTGCAGTGAGCCGACACCGCGTCGCTGCCCTCCAGCCTGGGTACAAGAGCAAAACACCGTCTCAAAAAAAAAATAAAAATAAAAATAAAGGCCGGGCACGGTGGCTCAAGCCTGTAATCCCAGCACTTTGGGAGGCCGAGGCGGGTGGATCACAAGGTCAAGAGATCGAGACCATCCTGGTCAACATGGTGAAACCCCGTCTCTACTAAAAATACAAAAAATTAGCTGGGCATGGTGGCGCGTGCCTGTAATCCCAGCTACTCAGGAGGCTGAGGCAGGAGAATTGCCTGAACCCAGGAGGCGGAGGTTGCGGTGAGCCGAGATCGCGCCATTGCACTCCAGCCTGGGTAACATGAGTGAAACTGTCTCAAAAAAAAAAATAAATAAAAATAAAAATAAAAAAGACAATGACGGAAACAGAACTACAGGCTCAGTGCTTGAGGCCCGGAGGAAGGAGAATCAGCTGCAGGGGGCTTGGCTGAGGACAAGGGCAATGGCTGCGGAGGCAAGACGAAGCAAAAGCTCGGAAGCGGCCCCCGAGGCTGACGCAGGACTCTGAAGCGCCCAGCGGCCTCCAGCTGCCCCAGACCCCAAGGCCCGGGTTCCGGGCTCCACGTCCCCATCGCAAGCCCCAGCTCGGTCGCTGCTTCCCAACCACCACCTCCGCCACCCTCGGATGCTGAGACTCCGGGGTGGGGTCAGGACGCAAGGACAAAAGGCGCCGCTGAATCACAGCGCAGGGCAGGGTCTGGGGGCGCCCCCACCCCGTCTTCCTCCCCGCTCGCCCCTTCCTCCTCCTCCCGCCGCCACGCGCGCGGCACCAGGCCCGAGCCGCCCGCCCACCCCTAAGCCCCGCGCCCACACGTCCAGAAATCCCCCTCCCCGCTGCCGGCTCAGGTCGGGCCCAGCGCCTGAGAACCCCGGCGGCCTCGAGGCCTCCCCCGTCCGCCCGGCCCTTCATCGCGGCTGCTCCGACGGGACTACGCGCAGACGCCGAGCTCGACCCCACCTCGTGCCCCTGCACCCACCACTTGCGCCCCCGGCCCCCACCCCACGGTTCTAAACAGCTGTCCGGCGCGCGGCTGACCTGCATGATGGTCTTGCGGATTTTCCAGAGCCGGTACGTCTCCTCCTCGTCGTCCATGGCGGTCGCCACTCGCACCCCCTACGCATGCGCTAGTGAGGTCTCGCGCGGACTGCGCCTGCGCCAAATCCCAGTCAGGTCCCCTCCGCTTTACCCCGCCCGGAGCTGGGCTGCCTTCCGCGAAGGCCTGACTGCAGCAACATCTGGGACCGGCAGCGCCAAGGGCAACCCGAACCGTACGAGCGCGACAGTTGGCTGCACGAGACTCTCGCTCCGCAGCTCTCACGTATCTTTGGCCGCTCGGCCTCTCGGGAGTTGTAGTTTCCGTTCAACTCCCACCTTGGGGCAGCAGTTTAGAATCCCAGGAAGCGGGGCTGAAGTGTAGGTGGGGAAACTGAGGCCTAGATGGGACCAAGGGGCAGCTCAGCCCCTAGGGGCGAATATTTGTACACCAAACTATACAGGGTTCTCTTTGTTGTCTCCAGCCCGTGTCCCCTTTAGTGCCATTGAGCTTCAGTTTCCCTGCCTGTGCAATGGCAATGAAGTGTCCCTCCTTTAGATGGATAACTGAGAGTCTTGGGTAGAACTAAGCATATCTCTAGAGTACCCTTCCTGCAGTCCAGGAAGTAAAAATTCCATTGCTGAAAGATCCTTTGTCTGAGTGCTAATTTTTCTTTGCAGCACCGAGCATCTATTTCCAACAGTGGGAAGTAGAAGGGTTCCTTTCTAAAGTTTCCTTTCCTGTCAAATAACAAATCAGGGCTGGGCACGGTAGTTCACGCCTGTAATCCCAGCACTTTGGGAGGCCGAGGCGGGTGGATCACGAGGTCAAGAGATCGAGATCATCCTGGTCAACAAGGTGAAACCCCGTCTCTACTAAAAATACAAAAATTAGCTGGGCATGGTGGTGCACACCTGTAGTCCCAGCTTCTCGGGAGGCTGAGGCAGGAGAATTGCCTGAACCCAGGAGGCGGAGGTTGCGGTGAGCCGAGATCGCGTCATTGCACTCCAGCCTGGGTAACAAGAGTGAAGCTCCGTCTGAAAAATAAAAATAAAAAAAATCATAAGTGTGTAAATAACTCTGTTAAGCTCTATCCTATGCAGGTATTAGCTATGACATACTTCTAGGCAATTAGTACATCCTATGTCCTTGTGCTTTAACCAAGATATCTGTGCTGGATGTGCTCACAGGCATGTCCCAGCTCTCCATTGCTTTTACCTGTTCAGAAGTTTTAAGTTGTTAGCTGTAGAGGGGAACCCCACAAGAGCTGAGGCAAGGGTCTGAAGCCTTAGCATGTTCTCATATAAACATAGAATTAGAAAGGAATTAGAGATATTTTGTGATATTGTGCTGTAGCTGGCCTAGAGACAGAACCTGAGCAATGCCATTTTATAAGATAAAGCTGTGTTTGGCTTCTGTAAATAAAGCTGCCAGTTTGCTCTGAAAAATGCCCACTGTGTAAAGCTGCTTACCTTTTCTTATCAGTACCAGAATAAGCGGCCCAGGCTAATGCCATCTTGGCCCCTGCGACTTGTAATAAGTAACTAAGGTCTGTCATTTTCACCTTACCCAGATAATGTGTAAACTAACGTTTATCTTGACTTCTGTAAACCACTTAAGTAACAATCGGAGTGACAAAAGTCCCCTGGCCCTTGGAACGTCCGGAGACCCCCTCACCCTCCTCTCCGCCCGGGAGGTGATTTACAGAATCCACTAGCCCTCAGAATGTCTGAAGCCCTTCATCCCCATCCCCACTCCTCACCCTCTGGGTCCTAAAACCAGGATGTGGTTTTTCAGCTTAAAAACCCTGCTCTCCCTGAGTTCAACGCCACTGGTTGGAGAGATGTGAGTCCTCTGTGGTCGCCGGCAATAATAAAGACCCTGCAATTTGGCATACTTTTGTCTTGGTGTTAATTTAATCTCGAATTTCAATACTTCAATTGTAACATAGTTATTCCTATATGTAATCGTAAAATAATCACATAGCTATTGATATTTAATCACAGACATATAATCATATAATCTTTAATCTTACTGATAAGTCTCAGGTCAAGACGTATGTGACTGAAGTGGCATTGGAAAAGAGGTGACCCTAAGGCAAGATGCCCTAAGTCTTCTGTCACGCCCACAGAAGGGCTGCTGGAGGGCCCCTCGGCTGTGAAAGTGCCCATTGTTTAGCCTGCCAAGGAAGGAGATGTTCAAGATGGCCAAGACATCTCCTTCCTCAGGGGAATGAGGAGAAAACTCTGCTCTTATAAACTCTTGTGGGAGGCCTAGAGGCTGTCAGGGAGGCCCACAGACATCCACGGACTTAATTGTCTGTATGTGATGCTGTGCTTCAGTGGCCACATTCCATGGCTACTGTCAAGTTCTGCTTCTGCACCTGGTTCCTCTTTTTCTCAGAAGGTAAGAATCAGTAATAGTCACATAAATCTTCGTGACCTTGTTATTTCTTGACAAGTTTGAAAAAAGTGCTGACGCCTCAGGTTTTCTCCTCCACTGGCTTCTTCAATGTCTTGGGCCCCTGTCTCCAGGACACGTGATGTCCCTGACCCTGTCACTGACCACCATTACCTCATCCTACCTGCCCTGCCCCCCGCTTTGTACTCAGTAAAAATCAGAGCGTCCAGGCACTTGGGGCCACTGCCGGACTCTGTGCTTGGTTGGCAGAGGACCCTGGGAGCAAACTCTGTCTTCTCTTTCTTGGTGTCTTGTGTCTTCTATTTCCACAGTTTCTCATCTCCACACCAGCAGAGAGGGACTCACGGGACCCTGTGGGGCTGGACTGTACCGTCCATTAGGGTTTTAGTTTAATTGCAAGGTCTGGCTCCAGCCAACCGAGATCAGACACAGCAGTAAGGACGACCCCAAACGCATAAGGGACACATTTGTGGGTTTTCCTTTGTTCATTGTACTCTCGTGGCACGATGGCTAGTGAGGGAACCCCTCCTGCAGTCCAGGAAGTACAATTTGCGTTGCTGAAAGATCCTTTATCTCAGGGCTAATTTTTCTTTGTGGCACCGAGCATCTATTTCCAACATTATCTAACTACCTAGCTTTTTTTTTTTTTTGAGACGGCAGAGCTCACAGGGTTGCAGAATTTAAGCCAGGGGAGGGCTTTCTTGCCACAGGGCGAGACAAGGAGGGAGAAGAGGGAACAAAGCCGTCCCTGTGACCAGCGGGAAGGGGCGTGTAGGTGGGGATGGGCTCTGGAGTTCATCAAGGTTCTGGGGGGTAGATGGACGTGCAGCCACGGTGGACACATGGTGGAGATTAGAGCCAGGAGCCTGGACCGGGTCCTGGGAGCAGAGCAAAGTCCGGGGGAGTGAGTCCAGCCCCACTCAGGGTCAGAGGTCAGGGGAAGGGGAGGAGGGGGCAGCAGGAGGGGAGGAAGACTCAGCACTGACGCTGGGGCAGCCCCGTGCTGTAGACCTGGCTGTGTGACCTCGAGGCACCTTACTGAACCTCTCTGTGCCGCCCTCTCCCCTGCCTTGTAACACAGGGACAGGAACGGCACCCACTTCACAGGGTAATTGGCTAACAACTGCAATGTACACATAGCAGCGCCTGGCATGGGCGCTACACGAGTGCTCCGTAAATAGGATAAAGGGCAGGAGGTTGCCAGGTGTCCTGGAAACCCTGTGAGGAGGTGTCTAGGGGCACAGGGAGGAGTGGCTGTGCGATGCCACCAGGCTGCCAAGGCCACCTGAGGATTAAGGATTAGCCGGGGAGACACAGCTTGTGACTCAGGGAAGGGGAGCAGCAGTGCCCGGCAGGGTGGATTTCGGGAAGGAGAGGAATTGGAGAGGTGGCGCAGGCACACGGGGGCTCAGAAGATGGACAGGGCTCACAAGTGGATTTTACAGCACAAGAAAGGGCATCTGCGTTGCTGGAGTCAAGATCCAGTAGTGACCTGCAAATCCCGGGGCAGAGCTGGATTAAGAGAGGCTGGGCCCAAGCCAGAGGCCCAGAAGTCACGCGTGATCCACACACGGGGCGGGTGAGAATGTAAGAAGATGCAGCTACTCTAGAAAACAGTCTGGTCGGCTGGGAACGGTGGCTCACACCTATAATCCAAGCACTTTTGCAGGCCGAGGTGGGCAGATCATCTGAGGTCAGGAGTTCAAGACCAGCCCGGGCAACACACTGAAACCCCAACTCCCCTAAAAATATAAAATTACGTAGATGTGGTGGTGTACACCTGTAACCCCAGCTACTTGGGAGGCTAAGGCAGGAGAATCACTTGAGCCCAGAAGGTGGAGATTGGAGTGAGCTGAGAAAAATTACCTAGACATGGTGATGTGCGCCTGTAGTCCCAGGTACTCGGGAGGCTGAGGCAGGAGAATCACTTGAACCTGGGCGGTGAAGGTTGCAGTGAGCTGAGCTTGCACCTGGGCAACAAGAGCAAAATTCCATCCAAAAAGAAAAAAGGAAGAAGAGAAGAGAAGGAAAGAAAAAGAAAATTGTCGGCCAGGCACGGTGGCTCACACCTGTAATCCCTGCACTCTGGGAGGCAGAGGCAGTTGGATCACAAGGTCGGGAGATTGAGACCATCCTGGCCAACATGGTGAAACCCTGTCTCTACTGAAATACAAAAAAATTAGCTGGGTGTGGTGGTGCACGCCTGTAGTCCCAGCTACTCGGGTGGCTGAGGCAGGAGAATTGCTTGAACCCGGGAGGCAGAGGTTGCAGTGAGGCGAGATTGGGCCGCTACACTCCAGCTCTGGCAACAGAGCAAGACTCCGTCTCAAAAAAAAGAAAAAAGAAAAGAAAGCAAACAGTCGCATGGGTTTTCAAACTGTTACACAGAGTCACCATATGATTCAGCAATTCCACTTCTAGTCATAGGCCCAAGAGAAATGAAAACATACACCCACACAAACACTTGTACAGCTTTACAAACTCAAAAGGTGAAAACAACTCCGATGTCCATCCACAACTGAATAAATAAACACAATGTGATCCCTCCACACACTGGAATATTTCTCAGCCACGAAAAGGAAAAATGAGGCCAGGTGCGGTGGCTCACGCCTGTAATCCCAGCACTTTGGGGGGCCGAGGCACGCAAATCACCTCAGGTTGGGAGTTGGAGGCCAGCCTGACCCACATGGAGGAACCCCGTCTCT